ATTTTTTTTTGATGTTGCTACCTCCCCTTACCTGTACTAGTATTTCAACAACTATATAGTGCATGAACACAAACTGTATGCTCTTCTGTATTGCGCCGCAACGCCGGTCGCGCAGCCATCTCATGACTGCGACACCCGATACATTCCGTCGCCTACGAATTCGCTCCAAAAGGACTTCAGCACCTTAATGAAGAAATGTAATGGGACGAAGGAGGTACGTCAATGGTGAATGAAGAATTGCACGCTTCATTTTCTGGCCATCTCACTCAGCACTAACTTAGTTCAACAATCTCACCTATTAGAGTACATGTCCGTCCAACTCCAGCAGAGCAGTGAACCACAATCGGAGTCTGGTGAGAGGCTTTTGTTATCTCTCTGTGAATCCCAACGACTACAGATGGACATTTTGGTGCGGAATGATCGGGCCATGTTTTACAATGCAGATGTCGTATGATACGTTGACGGTTTCTAAAAGTCAATATAAACGAACAGAAAAACGGGGTATAGGATAGCCTAACCTATCCTCTACTTTCCAGCTAGAAACAACAAAGCCAAGTTCGGATGTAGTCCTTTCAATGAAAGTGATTTTTGTAGAGCCAAAAGTAGTCATCTTCTCATTTTCCTGCGGGAAATACTTGGCGCATTTCTCCTTTTTACCTTGGAATTTTGAAGCATTGCAGCCTTCAAATCATAAACAAAAAGGTTTGGTTTACCTTCTATCAAGTCACACAACATTACTATCATAGAACAATTTTCCTGGAGAATCATTTGCCAGAAGTCGTTTATTGTTGATATCAATGGAGCCTGGACAAAATGATTTATCGCAGGTCAAGAAACATTAAAAGATTTGTCTCTAAGTTGAATTTTTCAGATGAAACTAAGCAAAAATTACTTGCGAGCAAATGAATCTTCGTCCATTGGGCAACACAATCCAACTCGCATTGATGTAATCTGTAGGCCACCCTTTCAATATTACCCTTGTCTCATCGATGCATCCGATGTCATCATATCTGCAATATAATTTCAATGTGTTCGTGAAAGTAGAGCAGCAGACACATCCTTTTCAATGCGCACAGGAGCTTAACGGATGTAAACATTAAAGGGCCCCTTGTGAGAAGAGATGAGCGAAGATGTTACCCCCAAAAAGAAACTATCTAAGAGTCGAAACCTTCCGATCAGCCACCATCATTGTCAAGATCTCATTGAGCAACAACGCGAGTTAGTAGCTCCCCTGAGAAGATGACAGTAGGTATTCCCTACAAACAGGGAAAAGAATGGGAAGGCGCAACAACAGAAATGGACATGAGCTTCCCTGCAAGCGCACGACCAGCAATCAGAAGTAGGCATAGCTATCTGAGAAGTTTAAAAAGCAAAATCTTTCGTCTAATTAAAT